ATATATACATATACATATATAAATATATATATATATATTTATATATATAAATATATGTATAAAGATAAATATAAATATATAAATAAATATATGCACAAATATAAATATATTTATATATATAAATATATGTATAAAGATAAATATAAATATATAAATAAATATATGCACAAATATAAATATATATATATATATACCGCCATCGTTAGCATCACGAGATATACATACCACAGAAGATTCTCGTAGATAGAAAATACATATGATGGTCCTCATACACAAGTGTGCAGCAATTACGTTATAAATACAACCACATCCGTGAAAAGCATCGACGTTTTAGTGGGATACAAACACGTATACATGTACACTCACCGCCGTGAAGTACATATACTTTCGATAAAATCCAACTACATAAACATACAGTCATCTACAGCAAATACGTGCACTTACGTCAGTAAGACCGGCCTGGGCGGCGAGTTTGTTCAGATCGCCTTCCGAGATACCCCCCTTGATAGTCACGTACACCATCAGCAGGCGCAGCTTGGAGTCGTTGTCGGCCTTTGTGTTCGATAAGATGTTTACAATTGAGGGGATGTGGTTGGCAATACGTTGCCCTTCCGCAGATACGCCCATAGCCATGTCCTGAGGGTTAAGGGTTAGAAAGCGTAAGATTTTAGGGTTTAGGGTTTATTTGGGGTTTAGGGTTTAGAGTTTATCTCAACGACCACAGCGTGATGATATTCTCTCACCAAGGACGGATGAACACACAGTACATTCAGTACCACAGACCTATCCACGAACACACAAAACACACCTGTTCCGTGTTGCAGATGGCGTCTAGGTTGAGTTGGTCGTAGAGCCCCATGCACTTCTCAGCCATCCCCAGGTGCAGCGTGAACTTGGCCATCATCTCCTGATGCTGGGGCATGGCCTTCAGCGCCTCAGCAAGGTCTTTCATGGACACCTGGGCAGGCGGTGGGGTGGTACAGGGAGAGGGGTCACGCGTGTACATGTGAATACATGGTCTTCGAAATGCCAGTGGATGTATGTGTCTATGATACATGGTAGGAGTCATGCGTATGAATGTGAATACATACTCTAATAAATGCCTGCGTGTTTGTATAGATACTTATGTGCCTTTGTATGTGCGTGTGTATGTGCGTGTGCATGCGTGCGTACCTGTGTTATATATATATATATATATATATATATATATATGTACACACACACGCACACAC